CACTTACAATTCATGATACTGCAACGTGCTTACATTTTCTACACTTAAATAAATCTTGCCTGAAGTACACTGCCTCTGTTCGTCTCTACACGTATATTTGTAAAGCCAGTAAATAGGGCCATTTATACGAGGAAAAATAAGATGCGTCTTACATAAGACGCGAACTTTCCGTATAAACGGCACATTTCGTCTGAAATAAGACGCGGCTTAGCTAAGATGCGTCTTATTATATAAGACATGCTCGTATAAATGGTACAGTTCGCGTCTTATTTAAGACGCATATTTTTTTCCCCGTATAAATGGCCCTAATGTTCACAGAGGCCTGCGTTTTTTGCTACAGGTACGTGAGCAGTCTCTTGATTCAACTTAGCAAACAAGTATTGAGTCCTTGATTGCCTTTGTTCACGGTCTTTATGGCGAAAATGGATTGGAAATAAATAGCATGTGATCATGAATTTTGAAATGTGAATTATGTACGTATTATGAAATTTGCCTACATCACCGGTTTCCAGTTCTCTCTCTGTCCAAGTTTAGCTCTAATGTTAAAACCATTTCAGCTGCTGAGGGGAGAATACTCCTCGTTCCTGTAGTTCTGCCATACTCATGGTATAAAAATCACTCTTATTCTTCTGCTTAGACATTTTTGAACCTTAAACTATTCGAGTTTCAAACAGTGAAAGGGAACGAAAATATAGATATTAACACAAACTTGAAATAGCGACTCACAGTTCATACAATTACAATACTGTATGTGGAGGAGAACGGATGTCCAAACTTTCGGCGTTTGTTTACAACAAAGTTCATCAAAAGCCACGTGAAACTACCCATAAAATCTTACCCTCAGAAGGTGAATTCCATAGCTGATACCCTTTCTAGTTGCAAATTTCAGCCGCCTTTCCAAAAGCAACACCCCTGTGCCTCCTTTGCTTTTGGCCCGGCTACCTGTAGTTTAACCCAAAAAGCCAATGTTATCTGGTGAATGGTTTGGCTCATTCAACTCAAGTTCATCAACTTCTGTACCATAGATGACTATGTCAATCCAAATGGATCCTTATTGCCTACTAAAGAGCAAACTTTGTTACATTGATTTTTTACTCTGACTTGGCTGACTTTTCTATAAAGGGTTATCTTTTTTGATACAGTCCTTGCAGATTGATTGTGGTTTCCCCGGTGAACTACCTCAAACTCCAGCATCTTCTTTGTGGCATTAAGCTCCACCAAGGCTCAACGCATATCCAGCACCAAGTGGTGACGGCTGATTGCACGCATGTATTATTCACTCTTCCATGGATTATCATAACTCAGAGCACATCATGCTTTGGGCTGCCTGTTGCCTGGGTTTCTTTGGCTTTCTTAGGGCAGAGGAGTTTACGGTCAACTCCATCTCTCTCCCTTCGATCCACCTACCTGTTAAGGCTTACTTCTCCAAGCCTAAGCATGATGGTTCAGAGGTCCCTCTGGCATGGTGTGGGGGCTCCTAGTTGGACTGTGCTGTAGGCACCCACCCCCCACTAAAGATGCTGTTGTTAAAAGCAATTTAAAGGATTTAAAACAAGGAGCTTCTTCAGTGCATGTTGTTTGTGGATGGCCAGTATGGGTATACACGCAAGTTTGCTGCATCCTTCATGTGATTTAGTGGCACATGGGGTTTCCCATGTGCTGCATTTTTCTTGCCATGAAGCTTCTTTCAGCCCGTTTCACTTCCCTTCTTGTTGAGCTTTCCACCGTTGATATCTTTTTTCAGTGTGTCACATGCCTGGTTTTGTTTTTTTTTTTGTGTGGGGATGCATAGCTGGGTTGCTCTGTAGTTAGGGGCTGGCTGCCAAAAGTGGAAGCCCCTGGATATTCCAGGCACCCAACCTCCATTTAGCAATGCAGATGTTAACCAGCACTATCCACCTTTTGAACAAGTGGTGCCTGCTAGTGAGATAATGTTAGTAGCTGATGGAAGAAACATGGTCAACGTACCAAAATTGACAACATCAAAGACTTTAAGTGATTTATCTTCAGCAGTGGAGCACATGACCTGTCCATCAGAACTTGCTGAAATACAGTTTATGACCCCTGTAATGTAAAACATAATTACATAAATTAGCATCATCCAGATACGAATGCTTTGAAAATACAGAATGTACCCCGGTACAATGTATAAAGAATCAGAAAGCAAGTGCAAAATCGTTATGCGTAGCACTTTGCATTGAGTGAAATAATAAATGTACAAACAAATGATTTGGAGTTCCCTTGAGCATACTATGAAAGTGGATGAGGTCCCGCCGTTAAATAAACAACCTAGTAACCTATTGAAGAAAACTTTACACCTTTGTGGTAATTGGATGCAATACTCCATCCATTTGAGCAACTCAACTCATCTGAGAGCAGGCAAATGAATGTGTGATGCTGAATAAGTCAGCAGTTTAATGTACTTCAAATCTTATTTAGAAACAACTTTTTCGCTCAAATTTCTCCAGAAACAAAAACATGGGGGTAATTTAATTTGAAGGTGCAGTTGACAGGGCTTGCACACTATTTCAGGCAAAAATCTCAAGACATTTTCAAGGACATAACATGCAAAGACATGCAAAGCCCATGGCTTGTAGCACATGATTGTGACAAGAAAGCACTGGGGGTGAATAAATCAGTGTCCTACCTATTGCTGAAACATTGATTTTGCCTGCCTTTGCAATCAATACTTTGAGACTTAGTGGTACATTTTAAAGTGTTGATACTGTAGTTTAGACATTCGTAAAAAAATCAGAGGTTTTAGGCCAAATACCAGTTTCAAATATACACAGACTCGGGGGTTTTCAGGGTGCATTATAGGAGCCCTGAATTGAGTAAAAAGGCCAGCTTGACTAATACAAAACCTTGCTTATAAGCTTTTCCTTAGTTTATACCATGCCCAGAATATGATGAATATGATAGCCATTTCTTGTTTTTTTCTTTTTACGCTTGAATAGTGTAATAACAAAGTGATTACTGCACAAGACCATTACCTCTTGTTTACGCTGGTTAGAAAGACGTCTTTAAGGGTTTTTTAGTGGGGGTTGATACAGCCGGCTCAATTACTCTCTGATAGTAGCTTTGATGCTAATAACAAAGAAGAGTGGAGTACCTTGCCGTAATAGCGTAACAACGTAATAAGAATGAAACACTTGCTTTTTACAGTAGCTTTGATGCTAAGAAGAAAGAAGAGGGAAGAACCTTGCCGTAATAGCGTGATAACGTAATAAGAATGAAACACTTGTGTTTACAGTTGCTTTGATGCTAATAACAAAGAAGAGTGGAGTACCTTGCCGTAATAGCGTAACAACGTAATAAGAATGAAACACTTGCTTTTTACAGTAGCTTTGATGCTAAGAAGAAAGAAGAGGGAAGAACCTTGCCGTAATAGCGTGATAACGTAATAAGAATGAAACACTTGTGTTTACAGTTGCTTTGATGCCAATAAGAAGAGTGGAGTACCTTGCCGTAATAGCATAACAACGTATTAAGAATGAAACACTTGCTTTTACTGTAGCTTTGATGCCAATAAGAAAGAAGGGTGAAGTACCTTGCCGTAATAGCGTCATAATGTAATACGAAAGAAACACTTGCGTTTACAGTAGCTTTGTTGCCAATAAGAAGAGTGGAGTACCTTGCCGTAATAGTGTAACAACGTAAAAAGGATGAAACACTTGCTTTTACAGTAGCTTTGATGCCAATAAGAAAGAAGAGTAAAGTACCTTTCCATAATAGCGTAGTAAGGATAAAACACTTGCTTTTACAGTAGCTTTGATGCCAATAAGAAAGAAGGGTGAAGTACCTTGCCGTAATAGCGCAATAATGTGATACGAAAGAAACACTTGTGTTTACAATAGCTTTGATGCCAATAAGAAGAGTGGAGTACCTTGCCGTAATAGTGTAACAACTTAAAAGGATGAAACACTTGCTTTTACGGTAGCTTTGATGCCAATAAAAAAGAAGAGTAAAGCACTTTTCTGTAATAGCGTAGTAAGGATAAAACACTTGCTTTTACAGTAGCTTTGATGCCAATAAAAAAGAAGAGTGAAGTACCTTGCTGTAATTCCATAATAACGTAGTAAGAAAGAAGGAGAAAGTATTGGCCTTGCCGTAATAGCGTAATAACATAATAAGAAAGGAGAAAGTACCTTGCCGTAATAGCGTAATAACGTAATAAGACTGTAACACGTAGTAACTTCGGTTTTAAACACTTCAAGGCAAAGTTACAAGTGGTGATATCATCATCTGCTATTGATCGATCGGTACTTAGCAGTCATTGAGGTCACTTATGACCACAGTGAGGATGCTTAGTTATCCTGGAAATAAAAGGGGGTGGTAGGCACAACTTTTACCTCTGGCCAAAATGCTGGTCATTCCAATAATTTTTTTTTCTCTGCTGGGTAGATTATGCTATGGAAGGTTATACATTTTCACTGAGCAAATGTGATTTTAGCCGCATGTTTCACACTGAGAGGTCATGACACACATATCGATTTACTGTAGTTATTGTTTCTGGTCGGCAGGATTTACCCTCTGGATGCAAGCGCATTTTCTTTGACCTCTTTTGAAGCGTAAAGCTGTTTATTACAGCTGAATGAGGGTTCCAATTTTCTCCAAAGTGCGTTATGGATCTGCATAACTAAGCGATTTTCTTTAATCCGTGAGTATAATGTTTTTCTGCAATGCTGTATCACGCTGGGCCCAGCTCGTTAGTTTTCTTTGCAGAATGTTAAATTATCACGGACAGTGATTTACAGATCCAAAAATATAAGAATGAAGTGTAGCTTAAACTGAAGCTACATCAACTTACTATGGAGAATTGAATTGTGACTCAGTAAACTCCAGCTTAGTGTTTTTCTAAAAGATAGTGTGATTCTGTTGACTAGAGCACGTAGTTTCTCCCTTGGTAGTACCTTTTGAATAAGCTTAACAGTCTTTAAACAGTTTTGTTATTGCCACTTTTTGATCAGGCAAGACCATGGTTTCGGTTCTCCACTCGAACCTCATAAGTTGCCGGGTTGGCTTTGTGCTTAGTTGCTTTTACAAGAGCAACTTTAGTTGTACTTTGGCATGGCGAGAACGGTACTGCCGATCTGTCTAGTGAGCTTTGAACTTGAACATTAATACCCACATGGCGGATCGAAATTCTTGTTTTCCTGTTGGCTACTGAATGTAACCAATTACGGAGTGTGTATTTCGATCCTCTTCTGCTTCACGCTAGAGGTGTGTTTTTTTGAAATGCATTTCGTGAAAATTTAAGCATTTTCTTTTCTGGAAGAGTTCGAAGACTCTTTTAAAAAAGAGATTAACAAGTTCGTGCTGGTTATCTGAACCTGGGATTACTAGAGTGTTATACGTGTTAATCCAACCAAGCAAAGTCAGCTGAAACATTTTTATCATGGGATAGTGTTGTAGGTTGATGTAAAACAAAGTAAAGTAAAGTAATTGAAAGCTAACTAAAAACGGGGAAATTGCTGTAAAATATTAATTTTCCTTCAAGTAAGAAGAAAGAAAAATGAGCTGAAAGGTTTTCTAATGAAAAGTTCACCAATTTCTATCGCACTTTATTCCCGATAAGATGTTAATAAACAAGAGTGACAGATTTGTTCAACAAGGTGTTTTTTAAAACTTATATCTTCCTTTAACGAATATCTTTGTGGAGGAGAAAAGCTTGTTTTCTACAGTAAGCTGAAACCACAGCAAACTACATATATTGACTTTGGCAGCTCCTCGAGGTCCCTCGAGCCGAGGTGCTCCTTTTCTTTCTTGTAGATTTTGGGGAGACCATTTTTTCCTGATAAAACCCTTTCCAGTAGTACTTGAAAATTTTCCTCCCCAACAGATTTTGCGTTGAAGAAGATTAAGAAAAAAACTGAACATGTTATGGTATTATGACCTCTCAAAAATGAGTGTTTTAATGAAGTGGTAGCCTGCTTCCTCGCGTGCCCTTCGTGCTTCTCACGCGCCTGAAATTCCCTTTCCTTCCCTTGCGAACGCCTGCCACGTAGGCTAATTAATTGAGGTTATTTCTGTAGTCGAAGGAATTTTTCAGGGTGTCCAGCGGCATGGTTGCTCAAAAAAATAGGAAAATAAGAAACTCAAGATTGAGAAAATGGAAAAATAGGAAACTTTGTATTAAAAAATAGGAGAAAAATAGGAAAGTCAATAGTACTTTTGTCGACAAAGATAGCCTCCCTGCACCTCACCAGGGTTATAATAAAGGCTAAAGGCAGCTTGTATGTTCGAAGGATTTAGATCAACTTCTGCTGCTTAGAAGGAGTGAAAATGATCAGTAATGTTTAGTTTATTGGCTCAGTTACGCTGTAATCAGAATATGCTTGACTACAGGTTGAGAGTGGTTCTGTAATCAAAGGTGATCATATGCAAACTCCCTTCAAGTTTGTGGCAAATCTTTGAAAAGCTTCGAAAAGTGCATAAAATGTCTTAGAATAGAACTTGCTTACAATTGTGGTTTCATTGAAAGATGATGAACTAGGACTAAAAAGTCCTATGGAAAGCTTTCCTTCCATTAATCTGCTAGTGGTAGCTGGTTCAGAATATGCTTGTTTGAGTCAAAGACTGCATAGTCTGCTTTCCGCGGGGTACACAAAATGACACTGATCTATTTGGTACCAGATTGTAAGTGTCATGGTTAAGTTCTAAGAAGAATGTAACTCTCTGCTTAGCTATGACTGCAAGACCGGTTTCACAAGCAAAAAATTGGATCCTTCATCAGTCGCTTAGGTATAGCTGTTAACAAGGGTCACCAAGAGAGGTAGTGCCGTAAACTAAACTTGAGTGTGTTTTTTTTCATGTAGCATCCACAATTCAGCTAGTGGTTGGCTTATTAACAAGAAGCTGATTGATGATTTATCTGACCTGTGTTATGAGAGACAAACTTGATCCTGTTTTCAGTTTCAAAGATGAACATAAAAGCGAACAAAACTTCAAAATAAAATATAACATGTACAGATACTGATATGCAGTTTCAGTGGGCTATGCACAATATTATTAAATAGTCATGAGAACTGTAACACTACATACAATACATGTAGGCGCACTACAGTGTATTGTTCAATCTGCACCAAGTTGCACCGGAATGCACCAATCTGGACCAAGTTGCAACAAACTGCACCATGCCGCACCAATCTCCACCAAGTTGCACCAAACTGCACCCTGTTGTACCAATCTGCACCAAGTTGCACCAATCTGCACCAAGTTCCACCAATCTGCACCAAGTTGCACCAAACTGCACCAAGTTGCACCAGTCTGCACTAAGTTGCACCAAAGTGCACCAAATTGCACCAAAGTGCACCAAGTTGCACCAGTCCGCACAAAGTTGAACCAAGTTGCCCCAACTTGCACCAAGTTCCACCAACCTGCACCAAGTTGCACTAATCTGCACCAAGTTGCACCAGTCTGCACTAAGTTACACCAAAGTACACCAAATTGCACCAAAGTGCACCAAGTTGCACCAGTCTGCACAAAGTTGAACCAAACTTGCCCAAGTTGCGCCAATCTGCACCACGTTGCACCCAACTGCACCAAGGTACACCAATCTGCACCAAGTTGCACCACACTGCAAACAATTTCACCAAATTGCACCAATCTGCGCAAAGTTGCACCAAACTGCACCAAGTTGCACCAAACTGCACCATGTTGCACCAATCTGCACGAAGTTGAACCAAACTGCACCATGTTCCAGCAATCTCCACCAAATTGCACCAATTTGCACCAAGCAACGCCAACCTGCACAAACGTTGCGACAAAGTCCACCAAATTCCACCAAGTTGCACCAATCTGCACCAAGTTACAGCCAACTGCAACCAGTTGCACCAATCTGCACCAACCTGCACCAATCTGCACCAGGTTGCACCAAAGTGCACCAAGTTGCACAAATCTGCACCAAGTTGCACAAAACTGTACCATGTTGCACCAATCTGCACCAAGTTGCAGCAAACTGCACCAAGATGGTCCAACCTGCACCAAAGTTACACCAATCTGCACCAAGATGCACCAAATTGCACCAAGTTAAACTAATGTGCACCAAGTTGCACCAGAATCACCAAGTTTCACCAAACTGCACCACGTTGCACCAATCTGCACCAAGTTGCACCAAGCTGCACCAAGTTGCAGTAATCTGCACCAAGTTGCACCAATCTGGACCAAGTTGCACCAAAGTCCACCAAATTGCACTATAAAGCACCAAGTTGCACCAATCTGCACTATGTTACACCAGTCTACCCCACGGTGCACAAAACTGTACCATGTTGCACCAATCTGCACCAAGTTACAACAAAGTGCATTACGTTGCACCAAACTGAAACAAGTTGCAACAATCTTCACCAAGTTGCACCAAACTGCACCATGTTGAACAAGTTGCACCAATCTGCACCAAGTTGCACCAACCTGCACCGTGTGGCACCAATCTGCACCAAGTTCCACCAAAGTGCACCAAATTACACCAATCTGCAACAAGTTCCGCAAGACTGCACCAAGTTGCACCAAACTGCACCATGTTGCACCTATCTAAACCAAGTTGCACCAAAATGCATCATGTGGCACCATTCTGCACCAAGTTGCACAACACTGCACCAAGCTGCACCAAACTGCACCATGCTGCACCAATCTGAACCAAGTTGCAGTAAAATGCACCATGTTGCACCAAAGTGCACCAACTTGCACCAATCTGCGCAAAGTAGAACAAAACTCCACCAACTTCAACCTGCACCAAGTTGCACCAAAATGGACCACGTTGCACTAATTTCCACCAAGTTGCACCAAACTGCACCAAGTTGCACCAAACTGCACCATGTTGCACCAATCTGCACCAAGTTGCCCCAAAAATGCACCATGTTGCACCAAGTTGCACCAAAGTGAACCAACTTCCACCAATCTGCACCAAGTTGCACCAAACCCAACCAACTTCAATCTGCACCAAGTTGCACCAAAGTGCACCAATTTGCACCATGTTACACCAATCTGCACCATGTTGCACCAATCTGCACCAAGTTGAACCAAACTGCAACATGTTGCACCAATCTGCACCAAGTTGCATCAAGTTGTACCAACCTGTACCAAGTTACACCAACCTGCACCAAATTTCACCAGAGTGCACCAAGTTGCACCAATCTGCACTAAGTTGCACCAAACGGCACCAGGTTGCACCAAACTGTACTAACCTGCACGATGTTGCTTGTTTGGTGCAACTTGGTGCCGTTTGGTGCAACTTAGTGCAGATTGGTGCAACTTGGTGCACTTTGGTGAAATTTGGTGCAGGTTGGTAGAACTTGGCAAAGATTGGGGCAACTTGGTACAGGTTGGTGCAACTTGGTGCACTTTGGTGAAATTTGGTGCAGGTTGTTACAACTTGGCAAAGATTGGTGCAGATTGGTGATACACGGTGCAACTTGGTACAGATTGGTGCAACATGGTGCAGTTTGGGGCATCTTCGTGCATGCACCATGTTGCACCAATCTGCACCAATCTGCACCGTGTATCACCAATCTGCACCAAGTTGCACCAAACTGCACTGTACGGCACCAGTCTGCACCAAGTTGCACCAACCTGCACCAAGTTACACTAATTTGCACGAAGCTGCACAAAAGTGCACAAAGCTGCACCAGATTTCACCAAGTTGAACCAATGTGCACCAAGTTGCACCAGAGTCACCGTTTCACGAAATGGCACCATGTTGCACCAATCTGCACCAATTTGCACCAAAGTGCACCAACCTGCACCAAGTTCCAACAAACCCCCGCCAAGTTCAATCTGCACCAAGTGGCACTAAAGTGGACCACACTGCACCAATCTGCACCAAGTTGTACCAGAATGCACCATGTTGCACCAATCTGCACCAAGTTGCACCAAACTGCACCATGTTGGAGCAATCTCCACCAAGTTGCACCAATCTGCACCAAGTGACGCCAGCCTGCACCAAGTTGCACCAATCTGCACCAAGTTGCACCGAGTTCACCAATCTGCACCAAGTTGCACCAAACTGTACCAAGTTGCACCAAATTGCACCAAGTTGAACTAATGTGCACCAAGTTGCACCAGAATCACCAAGTTTCACGAAACTCCACCATGTTGCACCAATCTGCACGAAATTGCACCAATTTGCACAAAGTTGCATCAAACTGCAGAAAGTTGCACCAAAGTGGACCAAGTTGCACCAATCTGCACCAAGTTGTACCAAACTGCACCAAGGTGCCCTAATCTGCCCCAAGTTGCACCAAACTGCACCAAGTTGCACCAAACTGCAGTAAGTTACACCAGTCTGCACCAAGTTGCACCAAATTGCTCTAAGTTGAACTAATGTGCACCAAGTTGCACCAGAATTACCAAGTTTCACCAAACTGCACCATGTTGCACCAGTCTGCACCGAGTTGCACCAAAGTGCACCAAGTTGCACCAATTTGCACAAAGTTGCACCAAAGTGGACCACATTGGACCAATCCGCACCAGACTTCATCAAGTTTCACCAGAATGCAGCATGTTGCACCAATCTGCTGCAAGTTGCACCAAAGTGCACTAAGTTGCACCAAACTGCACCAAGTTCCAACAGACTGCATCAAGTTGCACCAAATTGCACCATGTTGTAAAAAAGGGGGTTGGTAGGCAACACACGACTTTTACCTCATGCCAAAATGCTGCTTGTTAGATTATGCTCTGGAGGAAAATGTTTTGACTGATCAAATGTGATTTTTGCCGCTCATTTCAATCTGAGAGGTCATTACACACATATTGATTTTCCGCAGTCATTGTTTCTGGTCGGCATGATTTGCCCTCTGAGGCGAGAGCATTTTTTCTTTGACCTCTTTTAAAATGTAAATAAGATAAGGGTTTTAGGTTGCTTAATTTCTCCTAAGTGCCTCCTGGATTTTTTTAATAATAATTATTATAAACGATTTTATTTTTGACGTGAATGTGACAGTTTCTTGCAATGTATGGTCACGCTGGGCCCAGCTCGTTACAATATTAAGCAGGATGTTAAATTCTTACGGATGGTGATTTACAGATCCAAATCTCGTAGAATGGAACGCATTTTGTGAAAATTTTAGCACTTTCTTTTGTGAAAGAGTTGGAGGAGTTTAGTAAATAAGTGTGCACAAAGATTCCGTACACTCCCTCTGAAAGTGGAGTGGATACTTTCCTTGTTATTAGCACAATAGGGCCATCTATACGAGGAAAAATAAGACGCGTCTTAAATAAGACACGAACTGTACCATTTATACGAGCATGTCTTATCCAATAAGACGCGTCTTAGCTAAGCCGCGTCTTATTTTAGACGAAATGTGCCATTTATACAGAAAGTTCACGTCTTATTTAAGACGCATCTTATTTTTCCTTGTATAAATGGCCCTAATGTGAAACTTTCTCCTCTGCTTTTTGTTCTTGTAAGTACTTGTCTTGCTTTGCACCACATAAAACAGGGCCTACATGTTAAAAACATTCATAGTGTAAAAAAGGGGGTCGGTAGGCAACACACAACTCGTCAAAACGCTGCTTGTTCCAATAATTTTTTTCTTTTTCTCTGACGGGTAGATTATGCTCCGGGGGAAAACGTTTTGACTGATCAAATGTGATTTTTGCTGCTTATTTCAAACTGAGAGGTTATGACACGCATATTGATTTTCCTCGGTCATTGTTTCTGGTCGGCATGATTTGCCCTCTGATGCAAGAGCATTTTTTCTTTGACCTCTTTTGAAACCTTAAGTTCTTCACTGCAGCTAAATAAGGGTTTTAGGTTGAGCGTTTCACACAGATGCGCTTCGAAAGGCAATCATAAAAGCGAGGGCAAAAGCAGTACAATCGGATGTCAGAAAGTAACCAATCAGGGAGCTGAAGATTTATGAAGATTTAGGCACAGTTCATACGTGGTGCTTCTGTTCAACAAAAGCATGGCAGAAGCACGATGTCTGAATCAAAGTATTGAATTCGGTTCGGCAGAGCGATTAAGTTTGTTACTCGACTTGATACTACGTGAACAATTAACTTCGACTGTGGTTTGCATCATATATGGCTGCCAAAGAAGTACATCATGGCGTCATGTATACAAACATACATTCTGTAGACAAACATACATCCTTGATTGAACCTCCCATTGGGGCTTTTCAGGAACAATAATAGTCTGGTGCTAATGCCTGACAGAATGCAAATTCTTTTTCATGAGTGTGATTAAGTATAATCATCTTCTTTGTTATTACGTTTTTATGCTATTACGGTGGTATAATCATCTTCTTTGTAATTACATTGTTACACTATGGTTCGCGGTGGGTTAATCATCGTTATTACCTTGTTAAGCTATGGTCCGTGGCGGTGCTATTTTTTCTTTATTACGTTGTTACACTATTATTTGTCATTACATTGTTGCGCTATTATGGCAGTATAATCATCTTCTTTGTTATTATGTTGTTACGCTATAGTCCGCGGCGGTGCTATTTTTTCTTTATTACGTTGTTACACTATTACCGTACTGGCCATGATATTACTTTATTTGTTATAACGTTGTTACACTATTGCCGGTGGTGCCATTATTTCTTTGTTATTTGTCATTACGTTGTTACGTTATTGCCAGCGGTGCTATTATTTTCTGTGTTATATTACCGACACTGTTTTTACTTCCTTAGTTGTTATGGTTTTAAATTCCGTGCATGGCAAGGCTGCTGCCTAACGGGCGCCCGGTCGCCAGAGGCGCCCAAGGTAAGAGCATGGGCGACCAAATTTCGGTACAAGGAGCCCGCGCGGGCGCCTGACTTAACACACGGCATTAGACTTAACCTCCTTGTACATTATATTCCTTTAGCTGGAGTAGGACTTTAAACAGTGGAACTGTTGATATGGTTAGCGATGATGCGATTAGGCAGTATAAAATTTCCACAAATAAACCGTAAATTATGTAAACCTAACGTGTTCAACTGTGAAGCTTTGTCGAAACGAACGAAGCCATCGTTTCCGAGTCCGGATGGCAGTTGAAGACTGGGTCTGAGATTTGACTTCCAAATATGGAATAGCAAAATTATGGGCTGTTTGTTGCCTATGTTGACATTCGTGCAGTTCATCGTTTGCTTGGGTTTTCGTCGATTTGATAACTTTTTTGTGGCGAGAATGGGAAGCTATCTTGCGTGCTATCGACTGGACGTGCTTGATGTTCGATTTCATGTACCAGTTTGCAACGTATCAGCATTTTCAAGAGACTTTAAAAAACAACACGCCAGAGAACGCAGTATGATATTTCATATTTGTAATGTGATGTCTTTACCTTGAATAAAGAAATTAAAGTAATGATCAACTTTGTGTTGGTTGTATTTCTGCCTTGCTGCACGTGCTTAGCGCCCTTTCCCGCTAAAATCGGCAAAGGTTCTTAAAAAAATGATCTTTTGAATTTACAATGTAGTTACATTGACATAAAATTCTTTTATAGCACAGAATCAGATAGGAAAATGTTATTCAATTTAAATGATTCCTCAAATGTTTAGCACTTCATTTAATGAGATCCATCCAGGCTAAGGTTTACATAAGGCACTTGATGTTCTGTTCTGTTTTTCCTGTTCATGTATAAAAAAGGCAAGGAGAGGATTGGTCTACTTTAGAAAGTTTTTGGAAGACTAGTTAAGTTGTCATGTGGAACACAACTGTTACTGAACAAATGTGAAAGTCAAGTAAATAATTCTGAGTTGAAATTACCTACTGTTATGTTATTCTTTTATTGTGAAAATTGTGAAAATTCCTTTTACACGCAAATTAAGCCCCTCAAATATTTTTCCGGCTCATGAATGTGTATAAGAAAGGTAAGAAGCAGTTTAATTGTTACATTTTAGAAAATTCTTTGAAGGCTCTTCTAGGTCACATTGAACACAACAGATGTGGAAGTTAATTGAATAAATTAATAAATGAAAGTAAATAATTCGGTTAATTCTTGTTTACGTGTTATTTATTAGGCCCGGCGAATTCTTATTAAAGTGTGCAAGAACCTCTATAACCTATGTAATGATCTTGGAAAAACAATACATGGATTTCAAACTGGGCTCCTAACAATGTGGCTCGGGCTCCTAACTTTAAACTTTAGGAGCCCGAAGGGCTCCCTAAAATTTTTCTTAGGCAGCAGCCTTGCATGGATAATTTTTTTTTGGTAATTCCCTTAGACGATTCTAAGAAAAAAAAACAGAACACTCTTCTACTAAAAGAGAAAATGAAAGGACCGAAATAGGGAAGGAGAGGACTGTAAAATTGTAAAAGTTTACAAGCAAAGAAGAGGAAAGATGGAAATGGGGAAACGAGAGGACTTAATGCAAAATTAGCCAAAACATACTACTACAAGGGAAAAAGAGTAATCACGAAGTAATAAGGAAAAAAGAAGGAAACACACATCCCATAACGCACACCATATGCCTTAGTTACATCCCTAAAATTTTATACTACAACCTTAGATTTACCTTGTAGTTACATACAGTGAAGTAAATAAATTCGATCATTTATTCTTACCCATGTGAGCTTTGAAATGCTTTACAAATTCAATCCCTTCATCTTGCTTTTTCCAAAACTTTATATGACCATCACAGCTTGCTGTAATAAGGAACTCTGTTCTGTAACATACAACATACATGTAATAATAAGCTAAGTAAACATTAAGTTTTCTCTGTTATAGGACTGTTTAGCTTAGTCTTTGCTATACATGTATTTGTTATTCAGTTAAGGGGCTACAGGGAAAAATAATTGTAGCATTATGCATAGTCTGGGTTCCCTGTGATTTTGGGGGGGCCCAGGAGAAGTTGCCATCTTGATCTCATGGCTGAGTTCAGTTTATAATCTAACAACATTAATTTTTCAATTTGCTTCACGCCCAAAATATTACTGGGACTTTAGAGAAACAGGCCCCTTAAAAGTCTGGACAATCAAGAAGCCTTGTCAAAGAACCCTGGCCAAACTACCATGTAGAAAAACCAAAACACAATTACAGTTACTGGGTTGTCTCTAGCCTTCATCACAGGCGAAATTTACCCGGCTAGTAAAGAACATTTGTGAAGTGGTGCAAATAGCCTTCCCCTAGACCCCCCAAAAACTGTTATCGGTCTTTTTGTAAAGGTGTTGTTTATAACAGATTATTGGGGGGCTGCCAAAAAATAGTGTCTAATAACCCAGGACTAGTGGATTTTGTTATTACTCTAGTAAGTTCTGTTCTTAATAACAACAATCAGAAAAGCAATAAATAAACTGACCCAAGGATAATAAACATAATAGTGAACTTGCAGACATGTAATGACCAAATTGTGTTAAATGTATGTATAGTAAACTCAAAATACAGCTCATACACATACATGACTGTACATATAAATCTCAAAGACAGCCACAATAGTCCTAAACAAATAAACACTTACATGTAGATTACACAGATTTCTCTAGTAAACTTACACAGTGACCAAAATGTGTGAAATGACATCTCTATGCATGAAACTCTTCTCATATGACTCAGCTGATGGTATGTTGTTCAGGTACACTTTCTCAAACTCTAAAACTGAAATAATAATATTAAGTTTGTTCAAAGTTGTACAATTTTGCATTAATGATTTACATATTATAATTATATGATTATTATTACATTCATTCAAAATATTTCTTCATTTCTGATGGCAGCTTTTGACATTTGAGTGCAGCACTTATGAGAGTTCACAGCCTGCTATAGACTGGGACTAGGCTCATCTGCAGTGGGGGCAAAAAGGCATAAAACAAGGCTAAATACGAAAAATATCGACGATCGAAGGGAGCCCAGCGGTGGCCTGGGGAGGGGAAAAGTGCAGTGGAAAACCCTTACCCTAACCCTAACCCTCCAACACCCTTTCCCCTCCCCAGACTACCTCTCAATTTGCTTTGCTTGCTGATCTTTTCCTTTTTTCCCAATGTGGAGCCTTGTCCCAGGCTATCACAGCTACAACCTCGCAAAGCATTTAGAGGGTAGATAAAAATGACAAGAAGTCAAGAAGAAAAGGAAATAAGGCAAAAGGGAAAAGAAAATTTAAAAATATAAAATATATGATACATAAAGAAACAACACAAAACTACAAAAACAAAAAGGAAAGAAAAGAAGAGAAAAAGAAAAATAAGATCTGCCCTGAATTGAACTGCCTGAAATCAAACTCAGCACCTCCTACTGCACCAATTTGTTACCACTGCGTCACGCGGAGAAATATGACTTAAATGGTAATAATATTTGATTTAATATTTGAACTTTTAAGTTGCCTAGCATGTGACCGCAACTACCATGATGAAAAATTGTGTGATGTTTCAAAAGCAGATTGTATTGCACAAGACTGTATACTGTTTTCAAAGCTCTTGGAGGTTTCTTAAGTTTTCTTAAGCTTTACCTTTATATTTAAATCAAAACTTTTATCTATGCTACATTTCACGTCTCACAAAAAGCAAAGCGGTGAAATACCAAATGGAGATGCTATTGCGTATGGCAAAAACAGCAATTCAGGTCATGCAGTCAAATTACAAGTAAAGTTTCCAGCAGAAAAAAACACCTTGAATATATGTAGACACTGATGACCAGCAATTCAACTGCCGATGGACATTCACAAACAGGCAGTCAAAAACAATTAATTGGCGAGTAGAATTTGGAAGACAGGCCAAGAACAAAAGCAATGAGGGCTTTGTTTGTTTACACACCAGCATATATTAAACTAACATTTATTTACGCAAACTTCCTTTTATTTTGGATTTGACAGATAAAAGGTCATGGATTGCTTTTTCTAGTTTAACTAGTGAACTGCTGGCTTTTTTATCAACTTTAATTGTTTCGATGCAAAGTATTAGCTAAGCTGTGCAAAAGAATCCAAATTTCCCAAAGAGTTGTCAACTGCTCCTATATCTTGAATTTACATAGTTCAGGAATTTCTCGCAAGAATTAAATGCTGAGTAGAGTTAAATTGTTATTTTATAGACGAGTAGAAAGCTTTCTCTGGCGTGAGAGAAGTTAAAAGATTACTCAAAACTTAGTATCCCAGTAAGTTTCTGTGTTTGTTCTTCATTCGTTCTATTACGTACATGTATTGTGAAGTCAAGCAACAATTAATGTTTAGAATTGAAACCTTGTTTCAGTCTTCACCGAATCGTGTAGACACTGTTAAGCCTTTTGTTGCTGCTATTGCAACAACAGTAAACCAGGAACAATATGCTAGCTCAAGCATACTAATCAGTTCTGATATAACGCCGTTTTTCAAGCTTGTTAAGTAAATGGACTCGCGTTAACCAATTTTTCGCAAACTAGTTTGAAGCACGTTAACATGGACACTTATCTTTGAGCTGCATTGTACATTATCTGTACCTCTTGAATTAAATACTACACTATGTCACGTATTAGTGAGTGACAAGCATTTTCTAATAAATAATGTCTATTACAAGTTTTGGCTTTTAGTCCACCTTTAGTTAGTTTTACACTGTACTTGGCACCTAGATTTCACCTTGGATGCCCTGCCATGGAAAAATGGTTGTCCCATGGGCAACCCACTAGTTCAAAAGTTAATTTGAACCCTATAGTTACAGCTGTAACAGCAAAAAATTGTATTTTATCACAGTAGTGAAATGTTTTCCACGCAAGTTTTCAAGGCTAATCAACACGTAAATCTCTGCACAAATACTGATGTAGCCATTAACATTTGATTCATCACTTAAGTGTAGCCATCGCTGAACAAAACCCGGATCTGGTCTGATAGAATCAACTAACAGTATTTCACTTAATGACAAAAGGTTAAGGATAGCGTTCAGGAATTGAACCAATCCTGTCTGATCCAGATTTTGTCAAAGGCCCTGAAATGTGTTGGTCAGAATTTAGTAATCGAGAGTAAATGCAAAATGTAAAGAAAACTGAGCATTCTAGGTCTTCACTTTCTAGGTCGTCGTCTTCTAGGTCAACACTTTCTACGTCGTCGCTTTCCAGGTCATTGTTTTCAAGGTCGTCATTTTCTAGGTCAACATTTTCTTGGTCGTTGTTTTCCAGGATGTCGTTTTCTAGTTTGTTGTTTTCTATATCAGGTCATCATTCTAGACTAGGGAACGTAGGTCTTCATTCTTTAGGTCGTCGTTTCTAGACACCCAAAACGTTCACAGGTTCTTACACCGAGGTAAACCCCTTCCAATACACTTCCTAACTAGAAATGTGTGTATCGCAGAACCTCGCTGCTATTAAGTAAATAAATTTTACTGAAAGGAAATAAACCACATTCACCATCCACTCGCATTGCATCCGTATCGCGCAATTAGAAAGCCATTTCTAGCAACTTACATTACTCTTATGGGTCTCATTACTGGAGTATTCACTTTCACGACTTGAATCTTGGACAACTCTAGCTTTTGTCACGCCACGACGACGGCGCGCGCGAATCAGTTGTGGATGTGTATTCAGTAGAATCAAAGGACCAAAAATTAATTAAAATAAACGTTACCTCTCTTCTTTTTTTGCTTAGGAGGAGGAGGAGGCATAGGACCGATAACTTCATCATCTTCATCATCCTGTCGGCTATCATCTTCATTCAGAGCACGCTTTCTGTCTCGAATACTGTCTGCTGCGTCCGCCATTTTGAATTTGAGATACACGAGTGACTTGTGCTGGACAGAGGTTTTGACCCTGTCAATTATGCGCAGTCAGATCTCATTGGCCGAGGCTTTGGGTTATGTAAATCAGCGACTGAATGTCTGAAATTTGCTTTTCACCTTAGTGTTGCGGTAGAGCGTTGGCGGAGTTTAAATAAGCTTAGTTGTATTTACCTTGCTACATTCAATTGAGCGCTCAAAACAGTTTGATACTTCATGACATGTTGCTCCTCGGATTTGATTTAGGTGGAAGAAACTTGAGCTTATGTCGATGAAAGACATACCGTGCATCATCAGAGGAGTGTGGCCGGCCAGGGCTTGTAATTACGACGGATGAGCCATGGTCTTGACTGGTTAGCTGCGTATTATGTTTTATAAAGGACGGAAAGAATGAGTTTCATGAATTGAGTAACTCTCAGAAGGGCTATGGAAGGGCTTGATACCTCCTCAGCGGCTTACCGCACGGAGAGCGAGGGTAGTACAACTAGCGATGACCGAGAATCACTTCGTGCTCATTTGGAGCGAGAATCGCTCGGACATCTAAGCGCACTGTTTCCCGATGATATGTCGCTTAACTACTTTCAAAGTCTCTGCGAGGACGATTTGGAACACGATTACAATGTCAAGGATGACAAGGAAAGAGAACTCCTGATGCACTCTATTTTAAAACTACGAGAGGATTTTTTGGCAGACGAGGTAACCTACAGCTATCGTAAACTTACATAGTAAAGCTTGACGGTGCATGACCGTCTTTTAAGTGTCCGTAGTTTTTTAACATGATTTGATCAAATAATCTTGGTTTATGTGCTGAGTGAAAGGTATTTTATTCTTCCTATATGGCAAGCATTTTTAAATTTTCCCTAGGTCGGCAACATATAGGATGCAATAGAAAAGGAACTTCGAAAATTTCATTGTCAATGCGTTGTGCCTCGAGTGTGTTTTAAAAAGATGATGTCTCCTTGCTTTTCCTTTATAAATCTCTACAGGCTGATATGTTTATCTTTTCGGTAAACCTTTCAGCGTGAAAGCACTGGCACTGAACTTTTGTTGCAGTTTTTTTTTTTCGAGTTATAGTCCTTTGAATTTCAACTCTCGTATGGTTCAAAATGTAAATATATAGGTTGGCTTAAGCTTTACGTAAGCTTGTATAAGCTCCACAGACTGAAAATTTATTGAGGTAACGATCAAACCTCAACTGACCCAGTTCATCATAAGAGTCGCGAGTTTAATTCTGTGTTGCGCCAGGTATTTGGCACTACTCCTCTAATTAATTCTTAGAACACTTGATCTTATCCAGATATTTTCGGCTGTGTTATTTCCTTTGGTTAATTCCGATGGGAGTTTCCTGTCAGCCCAGAATTAACTTTTGTTGTGATCTATTCAGCGCTGTTTTGCATGTTTATTTTGTTGACGCCTTTCAGGATAATATGATGTTGTACTTTTCGCGAAGTCTAAATTGTAAACATTCATGTGCGCGAGGACCGCGGGTATAGTTACAACAGCAGGTCACTGTTAAACAGTGTAGAATCTAATACTAGAAGTAAGACATGAAATCATAAAACGTAATTGTAGCATGCAATAAAGGCTCTATAAGGAATGAAATTGTATAGATTTTAGCATGTTGTTTTCAGTGTACTTTACGGTGTACATGTACTATGTGTAAACTGTATCATTTACTGCTTTGAGATGGAGTATCATTGTGCTCACTCGTATGTAAACATAAACACCACAACAACAATATCTTCATTTTTGAAAAAATAAATGCTTGCCTGCTGTTGGAATGCTTGTTTTGTGTTGTAAAAGTGCCCAAAGTTCAGTTTAACATTGGGAAAAAATGGGTCAAGATAGTAGAAGGTGAATGGTTTAGCTGAATTGAATGATCACACAATGGCATTTTATTTAACTGAAAAGCTATTGCTATTACTACTATTGCTGGATAAATTTATCTGTGTTTTCCAAGCTAATGCTAAACCTTAAAGGGTTTGTTGAATGTTTTAGTAAACATCAAATCATTTGGTTACTTGTGTAAATAATTTTTAAACAAATTATCATTGGAAAAATAACAACTCAAGCAATGCAATGCAGCATTTTTTTTTTTGCTTAAAGTAAGTTGTTGTTGTTGTTGCCTTTTACCTACGCTTAAAAGAGGCAGCTCTTTCAATTTGAAACTGCTTGTCTAGGTAGTGTGTAAAATAAATTTTGCAACTGTGAGAAGGTTTTTTCCCTCTCAGGTTAATCTAGTTGGATTTAGTTATCCTTTGAAAAAAATATGGACCATACACTGTAGGTGATAGTTTATAATTAATTTGTAAACATTGATTTTGTTTGTCGAAGAAACAGCCATCTATTTCAAGAGCCAGTATTTAGGGACATAATGCAAATAATATTATAACCACTAACAGCATACCTGGAAGAACTATGTAACAATAATTTTGTTATTTTTATACTAATACATTATTTAGAACTGTCATCATTATTGATCTCATAAACCCCCTTGGAACTATCAAATTATATCTGTAAGAAAAAGCTGTTTGTAGAAAATGTTTCAGTGTAGTTGTTCAAATTTCATCTAAGGCCAAAAGGTATTCTCTTGCCTAGTGCATGTATTACAATATCAAACACTTTTTATTTTGTTCTGTTTATTTTAAGCTCAGTTTCATGAGTAAGACAGTCCTCAGTAGCAGGAAACATTATTTATTTGGATAATTTGACTGTACAACAGGGCAAATTTCAGCTAGCTGAAAATCTTTTGATTTAAAGCTTTTTACAAGACAAAGCATCAAATTTGAGAATGTTACTTGTCTACAATTCTCCTACAATTTGTTAGAATAGGTAGTTGATATTCATGATTAACATGCAAAGATACGGGTAGAAGTTTTTGATAATTGAGAAGTATAATATTGTTTGATCATGGCCCAATTGGCAAGGGTAGACAGTGCATCGCATTCCTTTCACAGGAATAAGCTCTCACCACACATATGTACATAGTACTAACTACAGCTGTATTTGCAAATATGTTTTGACTTTTTATGACCTATATAACTGGATTATCAACTGCATTTTTCTATTTTTTCTCCCAAATTTAGTCTGATTCTGAACTAGACACCAGTACTGACTTGAATGCAGAAGTTTTCTCATCTTTGCCACGTAGTTTCAAGTTCAACCGGTCAAGGTTCTCAGATGAATTTGCAGATGGAAGAGCAAAGAGGAGGGAGAGCTTTGGTTTTCCATCAACAAGACTTGATGAGTCATCAAATTTACTACGCATGAGGGCAAATCCATCATTAGGAAGCTCTGAACCTAACCTCTCTGGAAGCTGTGTAAGTAATAATTTGTCATAAAAAAATTAACAGAAGTAATCTCGTTACACTTGTTCATAATTTTGTCTAGTGGACAGAAGTTAATAAGAAACAGTCAACTCTCTTTATAACAGATACTCAGGGTGCAAAGAAAGTAAGTTTTACAGCTTGCCATTCGGACAAGCTGTAGCTAGCATGTACTAGCCCGAAAAAAATTTGATGAGCAGGATTGATTATAGTTCTTCTGTTATTTGAATTCCTAAAAAAATATCAGTTGCCCATCGGGCAAGTTAAAAACAGAATTCACTAGCCCGATAGCAAAATCCACTAGCCCCGGGCTATTGGACACTACTTTCTTTGCACGCTGGATACTGCTTTGATAGGCACTGTGCCCATGTTAGAAAGTTGTCTGCCTTAATAGAGAGTCTACAAAAATGAGCGATGAATGGCAGGAATTAACTCCAAGTGACTGTATTCTATAGATGTTCCTTTTCAATAGCAGTAAAAGAGTGCCAGTGGTATTTCACTTGTAGTAAGTTACAACAAAAGTGTTAAAGGCAAACAAGAGGGAAAACAACAGTAATAAACAAAAAAGAATGCCGAGAGAAAAATCAAAAGGAAAGGAATAAAAAACGTAAGGAGTATTAGGAAGTTGCTTGTGAAACAGGCTTTTATGGTGTTACAAACAAATAAGACCAAAGGGAGAATTAAACAGGATATTATGCTGTTACAAGGTAATAAGATAAAACGAAAATATGCTTATCTTAATATAAGTTGCCATGTAAACAGGCTATTATGCTGTGACCAAGTGATAAGGTAACAATAAGTGCATCTTGTGGAATTGTGTTCCTTTTCAACCCATTCCTTGCTTCTTATTATTACTGTTCTTCTTTGTCCGTTTTTTTCAGGATACTAAAATTATTTTTTCTTCTTATTTTAGAATGACATAAGCCGAAGACCAAGGTACGTTACCAAGACAATATTCATGCAATACTAATCCACATGCTCAGGACACCTATTCTTCAGTGTGGTTGGTTACAATATTATCTTAATGTTTAAAAAGCATAATTTTACAGATCAGCTAGTCTCTTGAATCTGCACCTCATAGACACTCGGAGGCAGATTTAAACTTGATGCCTTTTGTTAAAAAAACTTCATTGTCTAATTGCTGTTGTCTTAGACAGTTATGATTTAAAATGAATATTCAGGAATTTTTATCCATCATTCGATCTTAACTATCGTTTACTTCATGATATTTTCAATGTGTGTTATCCTGAGGGCTTGTACAAGTCATTGTTCAGTCAATGAAAGAAATGCAGCCTTTCCAATTTTCATTCTACTTTGCAGTAGAAGCCACATGTAGTCATTGACTACCTATTTTATTTTTTGCCCTCAAAATCCTCCTGCAGTAATTGCAGATGATGGAATATGCATATTTGGTTTTCTTTTTCGAATATACCTTTGCATTTAAGTGAAAATCTACTTAAAAGTTGACCGATTTACTGGAAGTTGAAGAGAAATTTTCATTTCCTTTTCTAAGAGAAACGACAACAGAAGGTGAAAGGAGCACAATTTGACTCCCTTCTTAAGCATTAAGTTTTGTTGATGCGCTCAACAAAATTTATTCACTGCTTGATTTATTCCTCTTGTTTATTTTTCTGCCGATGTCTTTCTTTTTTGGTGAGCAATATTCTTTTCAATGTTGAACGAAAATCTTCTTCAGTCTTCATAGTTTGGAGATCCTCATTGCATTCCAAAGCTGACACTGTAATGCATCTTCCGGAAGTGCGTCACACGTAGCAACATAGTCATGTATCAAAATCCGAGGGGGGCTTTAATTAGAGAGGTCATTTAGCATGAGAATTTTACACAGCATTGATTCAAAACGGTGGGCAAGAAGGTCTGACATGGCTGTATCGTCAAAAAACAGTTGATTTTGAGAAGAATAGACAGTTTTCACAGTGATTTGTCAAATTGTAAAGTCAAAATAGCGAGGTTTTCAAATTCTTATTTATACTAGGTTGAATATAAGCAAAAAATAAATCTTTGTATAAGTTTCCAGTCCCGTAGGATGTTTCATTGCGATAAGACAGCAATTTGGATTTCCAAGTTTTCACAGTATGCAACACCAAAATAGGAATGCTGTCTCATTGAAAAAAAGTCTCTCCTCTTGATTTTCAGGAGTATAACCATTTCAAGTATTAGAAGATATGTTTATGCGCATGTATGCTAGTTGTTGAGTGAAAAGAAAGAGCCTTTATAGAAAAAGTGAACTACAGATGTTTTTGTTGAATTCTGGCAGCAATATTGGTGGACCAAAATGGTACACCAATATGGAATCTCTCTACAAAGCTCTACAAAAGAGCGAGAAACATTTTGGCAAATAACTCAGAAACTGTGGGCCACAAAGACCTGAGATTTGGACAATGGTTTATATATTAGTCTTTTACAACATTTCATTTTCTTGGCTTCTTCCACTGGACAGTTTCCAATTTATTTTTTTTGTGCCGTGTTTGCTGCGTGACAGTGAAAACAATCCATATAACCTATTTTTTACAGTGATAAAGCATCGATTATCATGTGATTAATTTACCTTGACTTACGGGAACCGCCTTTTTGAGGGAATGAATGATAATTTTTTCATGAAATTTGGCAAATACACCAAGAGCATATTAATGAAGATATCTGTGTTTGACCTAAGGTTAGAATGGCCATAGAGCTGAGTTATTAATGTCAAAAAGTGGATCAAATTACTAAATAGCACATTGTGCCCCAGAAGGTAGATTATATGGAGCTGAGTCATGGTTGGACACAGGATTTTTCTATTTTATGTCCTTATTTGTGTTACATTTCTTTTTTAACAATAACTCAGATTAAGGATTCTTCTAAAGTTTTTAGTTTATAATTATTCTCTTTTTGTGCCACCCTAGGGGGGAATTAAATTTACACCTTTTGGGTGACATAGCATGGTTTTAGTTTTATATATTTTAGTTCCTCAAGAACCAAGGAATACTGTCAATGTACTGATATAATGAAATTATCCATAAAACAACTATTAAAAATGATCCAAAAATGTGCAAAATCTGCTGGTGCAGATATCTTAAATTTAAGAGCATTTGAAATATTATAGATAACTGCTAATAAGGTGACATAACATGCTTTGAAAGTGTACTTGCTACTGATTGAGTATTATTTTTATTCCATGCTACTTTTTTTTCAACAATGAATTTGACTAGTAAATTCTAAATGCTAAAATGAGCACAGTAGGCTGTTGTGAGCCACTGTGAAGTTTGTTAATTCACAATTTGGATGTGATACACATTATACTCCAACAGCACAAGATCACATTGATTTGAAAGGTTCTGCTTATATAGCAGCACACTGTCATAAAACTCATTAATTAACATCTGCGTCAATTTTACATTGAAAATTTACAAAAATATATTTCCTCTTTTTCATTTATTTATCTAATCCGTTTTGCATTCAAAGAACATTCAAACCAAATATTCAAAATTTGAAGCCCAAAAATGCACAGGCCTTCTTGTTTATTGTCAATACCTACATATAATGTGGACACATGGTCAAGAAGTTTCTTTAATGTTGGCTGCTGCATTTAGTTTGTGGTATAAGAGGATTTATTGTAAGTGTACAGGTACACCTTTAGGTTGACACATTGCATGATCAGAGATTAGTTTCCAAGCTATAAGCAGTGATATTCTGATTAATTTCTGTTGTCATTGAAATTAAGTTTGTGGCTCTGTTTTTTGGTCAGTCACAGTTCAGTTTTTTGTGTAATTTTGTGTCACTTTCTTTTAACCTGTTATCAAAGAATTAATTTCTTTGACTATACAATGTATGCAAAAACAGAGCAAATACAAATTCAAACAAGGTAAAAATTGAAGCATGCCATCTGTATTTGCAGCTTATCTGATTATAATATTATTTTTGTGTTTCTTAAATGCTGCTTTATGTGGAACAAAGTAATCCTTAAACTTGTGATTTAGTTGGTTTGTAATATTATAATCTGTCTGGTGATGTGTTCATATATACGTTCAAGTGAAGTCTAAAGGTATTGTGTGCATGTACATGTATTAGGCATACATATGTATATGTTAGTAAAGTTAAGAATTAAGGTAGTCAATATGTTATGTCATATATTAATCTGTGCCGGCATATTCCTCGTAATTCAGTTTCTCTTTTGATTGTGAAATTAAACACCAGTATTTTTTTAGCAATAATAACAGGCTTTGGATGTTATTATTATAACATGTACGTTGTAGGTTGTAGATTTCACTTTCATTGTTTCTTTGGTTAAAACATTTTTATATAATTAAGAAATGAAAAATAAACTATATTATTTACTCTTGTAGCAGAAATTTTTGTGTTAGTACATTTTTGTGTCAGGTATATTTTTTTGTGAACTGTACTTTTTTACCTTGAAAAATACTTTTTATCTTTTCAAGTTTTCTTAAGTGGTATAGTTTTTCCTAAGACTTTATCAGCAATCTTGGATAGTGTCATTTTTTATTATGTAAATCTGAATTTGAAAGAAGCCTGATGCTAATAGGATACTTGTATGTGCCAAAAGGAAGACTTACAGAGACACATTATTAATTTTGATGGGCAGTCTTTCAGTGGTAGGGTAGGGTAGTTACTGAGAAAAGAAAAATTTGTGATACACATTTTCTATACAGTGTTTTTGTATGTTCACAATGATTTGTTACTTGTTGTTGCATCAGCTTGATGGAACACTTCTTGTCAAGGTTTGTGCCAGTACATTTAGGTTATTTGTCTGGTGTTTATGGCATTAATTTTAGAAACTATTACAGGAAAATTATTGCAAAGGATAATTCCATTTTACCATAAATTGTAGCTAAATGTAGTGTTACATTATTTTATGTATATACATGTACTTGTAGTTATATATTTTACCTTTAAGTCAGTGTACGATAATTATAATGTAAGAAGCTGATTTTGAATGCAAAAAAGAATCCTTATGTAGGTAATAAAGATAATTGACTTAGGTCCAGTAGAATGCATCTGATTGTTTACAATTTGTTCTATTGAGTCTAATTCATTGATTTGTTGTTTTGAATATGAAAGTGTAAGTTAAATGCAGCTGCGGTATTGTGGTGATAATTAAAAGTGTTTCAGTCTGAGGACTGTAAGCTTAGATTAACCTTGTTGTAGAAATATGTTTTTATTTCTATCACTACATGTAAAACTGAAATCCACAGTTCACCCTGAACAGTAATAAATTATTAGTGATGCTGGTAAAGTAACCTTAACTGAACTGAAACATGTTTGTGAGTTTCATCTTAGGGTTGAAATTGCAGTTTGCCTTATTTGGTTATGAGACCGTGAGCCTTTGATTCTACAAAAGTAATGTAAAGCAATTCACTAACTGCTTCTGTAACGAGTACAGTTTTTACAAAGCAATGTCTTGAAAATGTGACAGGACAAAATTAAATTCAGGTCAAAATTTTTACCTAAGTTGGTTCCCAATTTCCTTTGTCTCCTAGCCCTAATTTTTCATTAATTAGGGCTGAGACAAAGAAAATTGAGAGTCAACCTTGGTTAAAAAATTTTGACCTGTAACATGTACGTGTCTGTGAAATATATAGTGGACTCATTTCATATTTAACACATATGATAGTTAATACAGTATGCAGTTTGTGAATATTAGAGTAGATATAAGTGTAGTTCTTTTACAGCTACAAGTGAATATATTTTAGAAGCATGAAATAATGTATTTACAGTGACAGTGGCAGTGACAGAGAATGTAAATACTTTCCTATTGGTATGCACGCATATGAGCCGCTATGGCATTAATTGACTCTATTGTTATTAGGTATATAAGGTTTTGACAGTTGTAATGTATTCATCTCAGCTCTCGAACTATCAACTTTTATTTTTATATCTTACTTTATTCATCTATCGATTGATTTTTTACCTTTTAACCCCCAGAGGTCGTGCGACCGCATCAGTTGGGGAATACGTTCCCAATTTTTTCCCGTTGGGTTTTTGGGTTTTCGTATCAGGCCGCGCACATGAATAGTTTAGCCTGAGTGACTTTATTTAGGAATATTTGTATACCATTCTTTAGTTATGATGTTGACCTTTGTATGATATTTAAACGGCATTAAACAGTCAGGCTCCATAGTTCAAGCTGCACACCCAGCCACTCCATAGTTCGAGCTGCACACCCAGCCGCTCCATAGTTTGAGCTGCACACCCAGCCACTCCATAGTTCGAGCTGCACACCCATTCCCGTCTCTTAGTCGTGAATATAAATAGGAACATAAGTATACCACTGTTAAAACTCTTAATAGAATCCTTGGGATGCAGAAAACATGTTGTTAACTGTTGGTAAAAGTGCTTATGAGAATGATATCAAAAACTGGCAAAAAGGATGATGGGCGATAGGTGATGCCTACATGTATATGAGCTACCAACACTTGCGCTGTACTGAATAATCTCTTATAATTCTGGGAGGACTATGCCATACAAAATCATTGTTTGTTTTATGCCATTTCTTCTGCAATCGTGTTAACACAGATTGAGCACATGTTTGCACTGTTGACAGAGGATAAACAGCAGGGTTTTTTTCCTTTTTGTTGGCCATTTATAAATTGAATTATGGGGGCTGGGAAACAAAAGAAAAGACTGAACTATACTCCCTGGATGTCTCCGCATCATTAATAGAACTGCTTACAGGAGTGTGTTAAAGTGGGGTTTGTATGGTAGAATGAAATGGTATTAATTTTCGTTATTAAGGCAACTAGTGAAGCTGGTAACATTCTTCTCTTTGTGCAAGCAGCCACAATGATGAGGGTTGATTGAAGATTCATGTGAGATTCCAACAGAGCTAAAAATAAAGTTCGATGTAAGATTTGTTTTTTCACTTTGTGGCTTTTTCCTACATGCACTACAGCTTAAGTTGCAGATCAGCATCAAACATGAAGGGTTGAGACCTTGAAAAATGGGTGCGAGCCTCCTTAAATCCATAGCATTACAAATCTAAAAACCATGAACACTTCAAGGGAACAGAACATGTACATTAACTATTAAAATTTTGTAACTGACATCTTAACTTATGTTTCACTCGCTACAAAGTGGAGTATCAAAAATGTACACATACATGTATATTTTGAAGATTTGGAAATTAAATGGGAATAATAATATTGTTATTTAGCCTTTGCTTCTAACTCTCCGTTAATTATGTGTAATTGCAATTTTAGAAGTTTGTAATAACTGCAGCTGATGTTTTGAGCTTACTGACCAAAATTAATGTATTAATCTCAAGTAAACAGGCTGCATTCTCCCTATGTAAAGGGTTAACATGCAATCTGCTTGCATAATAGTTATCATTTAAATGAACTGTACATAACTGACTAAACTACTATGCGATGGGATAATTAATTTGATAAGTAGAATTCTCTAATTTGCTAACCATAAAAGAGGCAAAGCAGGGCTCAAAGTTTAAAATTGAGTTTGGGAGCACTTGTGCTACCAGATGTAAATTTTTAGGCCCACTGCCGAAATTTTAAGCGCACAGCTGAAAATTTTAGGAGCACAGCTTATAATGTTGGGAGCATCTGTTTTGAACAAAAGAAAAAGTAAAGTTTATTTGTCATCTTCAGTTTGTTACTTTTACTTCAGTCCTGTGATTGATAAAACACAGCCGATTTGCTACGCAGTAATACCGTTGTGATTTTTAATACTAATTTCTCTTTTTGACAGTACAGTTGTGACTAAAGAAAACTTACACTTGAAAAACAATTCAAAACTGACAACGATGAGTGTGTCGAACAAGAATGAAAATTAATCTTTAATGAATATGTTAAATGCTCAATGACTTGCATGTAACTGGAATACGAAATAAAACACTTTCTTACCTGGAAGAAAAGGCTCTTAATCGGCACTGTTTTTGTTTTGATTGACGTTAAAACTGAACGTTCCACATGATCGAGCATATATTTGCATGTGTCAGCGGTGTTTATTACAAAACAGAAGAGTCTGGGATGGAGTAAAACATCAAAACGAAAAAGAGCATTTGAGTTCGTAGAATCCATTGGGAGAAAAGACCAATTGAACATACACCGTCTTTCTAGTTCGAGTTCGTAAGTATAGTTGGAAGTAAGTCAGTTGTTGTCAGGCCCCTTATCTCCCAATCTGCTGCGGTACTAGTCTATAACTCCTTAATTCAACCTCACTTTGATTACTGTAGCCTCGTTTGGGATGGCTTAAGTGATCATCTGAGTGACAAATTACAAAAGTTACAGAACCATGCAGCTAGAGTAATTTTAAAGGCCAACTATGGGACTAGCTCGAGCCTGCTTCTGGATATACTCAAATGGGACAAATTAGTTATAAGGAGAAAGAAGCAGAAAGCAATAATGATGTTTAAATCTCTAAATGAACAAGCTCCAGTGTACTTGCAGAACCTATTTCACGAACGAAGCACAGACTATGATTTGCGCAATTCCTTTCATGAATTGACGTTGCCCAGGCCGCGTACTAACTACTTGAAACAAAGTTTCAGTTACAGCGGTGCTTTGTTGTGGAACTCTTTACCCGAAAATGTGAGAGAAATTAAATCAGTCAGGAAATTTAAAGAGCAAATCAAACATGTATTTGAGTCATCGGACTCTCACTCGGCAGTCTTGTAAAACAGAATGTCGATAGTTTTTAGTCTAATTAATTGTAATTAGATTTTTACTCTATTATTACTGAAGATTTTACCGAGTTTTAAATAAAGAATCTACCTACCTACCTACTGTGCTTTGCATGGGTTTTACGGCGCACAGGTGCGATTACACATGAATTTTTAGGCGCACAACCAAAAATCCAGTCGCATATGAGCCCTGCAAAGTCCAACATTTGTACTGATGTGCTACTGTTTAGTACTTCTTATCCAGACTTGCTGCTTAGGCCAATCATAGTAACTAGAACAGCCAGCACCTTTATTAAATGTATACCTTTGTACAAGCAGTAAAATTGAAGAAGTTAGTAGTCAGAATTTAAGGCTGTTTACCAGTAACACTACATTTTTAGTTTTTATGTTCATATACTTGCAAGTACTTGATTATTAACAGGTGGTTCTTTTCTATTTTGAATGATCAGCTCTTTTAATGCTGGATCAAGAAAAGCAGGAAGAAGTTATACCACAACAAGTTCCATGCCGTCGTCAAACTCTGGCAGACCTTATTCACCATTTTCCCATCCATTTCAAGGTGCACAAGTACTATCTGTGATTTATTTTATTTTTTAAAATTTTTTGAAAGGTCCTTCAATGTAATACTACTAACTTTTGTGGCCATCTAAAGATTTCCCACCTGTGAACTCAAATGTTTAATATTTGGTGTCACCATGTTGTTTTGTGGCAGGTACTGAAAGTCCAGTTGGCAGTCCGGGCTTTAACACTTCAAATATTAATGCTGCTGCTGCTGCTGTTGGAGCTCATTTCAGCTTTTCAACTGTTAGAAAGTAAGTTTTATTACCTATCAGGGGTGATATACACAATAAGTCAGAAAATTATAACAATTATGAGTAGGGTGGGATGTGATTGTCTGGGTTAGTGTAGTCCTGACAGTGACTGATGTTTGAATAACCTGCGCTGAAATCCGCTTTAGAGTCAAAGTGAGTTACAGGACATCAGAAAGGGGCTGTTGATGGTCCTAAACTCTGGTTATTGACCTTGGGTTGGTCAATTATTGGTCGTCTCTCAGTTAAGCCATGATGTTTTTGGCTAATTGGAGACTCCAAATGTCATAGGTGCTCTTTGATCTGTCTTTTGTCAAATTTTAATACATGCTTGTTTATTTTTAAATATTTTAAGTCATACTGCATTCTTTTTTACACTTTTCTAGGGCTAAAAAGGTAATAAGTTTTATAAAATAACTCCAAAGACAAGTTTCTTATGGAAGCCCGAGAAAATAAATTTCAAATTTCACAGGAATTGAGAAGACACAGGTAAAATACATACATACACACATACATTTGAAGCTTTTGCAGTTTGTTTTCTTGGGCTCCCTTAAGAACCTTTTCTTTGAAGTTATTTCATATAACTTTTTACATTTATAGCCCTTGAAAAGTGTGAAAAAGAATGCAGTATGATTGGCATTATTCTGCTACTAGCTAGGTTTTTGTCCTCTGAAAATTAAAATTACTCAGTTTCCCAATGGATCCCATCTTACTTTTCTGCCTCACTCTCTGAAAGCCAAAACAAAAACTTAGGTATAAAAAGCAAATTTTTTTCTCGGCATTATCACTTTTTAATTGACTGTTTTTCAAAAGCATTGTCATCAGAATATAATAACACAGGGTTTGCAAATTTTATTGATGAGTGGAGTCACTGTGACTTCTGCTTCACAAATTTTGGAGTCATTTAGGAATATTTGGAGTCGAGTATCACAACGATAAAAGCCATTTTCAGACTTTCGAGCATGTAGTCCTCTCATGTATACACTATCGTGATGGATACACGAAGTAGCTGTGGCGGTCCGCTGACCTGGAAAGCTCAAATCCATGATGGCGGTCATCCAATAAATTTTGATCGTAATTTACCCTCTTCCTATTTGGTCGTGCAGTATAATTCTTTAATTTCGATGATTTAATTAAGGTTTACAACGTTTACAATTAACGTAAATTTTATTTGTTGTGAAAAAGGTAAGGACAAAACTGTGTTTTTTACCGAAAATTTCTGCAGTCGAAGTGGCTCCCTGTTTGTTACCAAAAATTTCTGGTGTCGAAGTGACTCCCTCCTTAACCTCTGTGGAGTCATCTGAACAATTTTGGCGTAAAATACGCCAAATTTGGCGTATTTGGGAACCCTGATAACAGGAGTGCTGCATTAAATCATAATTAACAACGTGATTTTTGGGCCTAAAATTAAAATGTATGAATGCATTGTTAATGCAAGCCTTTTTTCCCTAATCAGAGCTGATGCTGGCGGACGGCGGTGGTCAGTGGCATCACTAACGTCATCTTCTGGATACGGAACACACACTCCCTGTTCATCTTCTTATTCTGTGAGTTTTGTGTTGTGTGATTTTAGCTGAGTTTTTTGTGTTTTTGTTTTTTTATGTTGGCTAAAAACAGAATTCTGCCTTGCTTACTTTTCTGAGTAAGGGTTGATTTCCAGTGTTGCGTAATTTTTACATACGTAAAATTTACATTCACAAATAAATTAGAGGCAATGCATGGAAGGTTGCTCATAAGCATAAAAGTTGAACCTTGCTCAACTTCGAATTCTTGTTTAAGCTCAACACTTTTTATCTTGCCTCTATTTTATTTATGTGATTAAAATTTACATGCGTTAACGTGCATAGCCAAAAACGCATCAGTGGAAATCAACCTTAAGGTAAATTACACCTGCTCAGTTAATGTGTGGTCTGGCTGAGTTTAAAGTTAAACCAGATCCAATATGTGGTAATGTAAAAATGTTTCCCATTTTTGTATCATTTGTTCAATTATAAAGTAATTTTCTAGAAAACCACAGTAGGTATAGTTCTATTAGTAATTAAAATTAATTTGTTTCTGTTTTTTTTTTCTTTTTATTCAGTCTCTAGCGTCATCACAAGAAAAACTTCACCAGGTATTGTCTTTGCTCTTTGGTTTATACTCTCCCTTAACTTGTTTTACCAGTTAGTTATGGCTGCTATATAAATAAACAAGTACATGACTGTCTACCACTAAAATTCAGTCACTTCAGGCTCTATGTGTCAAATATCTTTTATAATTGTGTTCTGTGTTTTAATACTATGGTCAGCTGTTAACTTTATCATTGGTTATTTGTTGTTATGCTTCTTTTGCTGAATACAGTTGCAGTTCAACTTGCCCTATAGTGAGGATCAATATAACTATGGAGCACATTTTAGGTAAAAGCATATTAACACTGTTCACTGAAATCCTGGTAACTTGAGCCTTAAAAGGAAACATGTGTTGCACTCAGATTTCTGATTTCTGCATGTTTTTTAGGATTGTCATTTCTTCTTATTTGTCATAGGTATATTGTCATGGTAAAACAAAATCCTGCCTGACTAACTACAATTCCTAATATGCTTAACTTATGCCCTAGTAAAGGTGAAAATATCTCAGCTCTGTGAATTTTTTTCTTTTAGTCTTGTTTTCTTTTGACATTAGATATCACTCAAGCAGTGGAGCTCCATTATCACCACATTAGCTCTAACATTCGCTTTTTTTGGACTGATGTTGATTCTGATTCATAGAGCACATAATTTCATAACAAGTTCTCAGCAATAAAATGTGTAATCCACTCACTGATCGTATTGTGCAGATCAAAGCTGTTTTATTATAAAAAAAGTGATTTAAATTCAACATTGGTTTGTATTTATTTTAGTGCTGATAGTGATCAGGATGATGACACTGTAGGTGGGAGGTCACCAAAGCCCAGACAGAGGTCAAGAAGCCTTAGGTAATGCCATAGATAGGTCAATTAAAAACAGCAACAAGATTAAACTTCCACAAAAATAAATTACCTCATGTTATCCCACTGAAGGCAAAATCGTTTCAAATCAAAATACTGCAACATACTATCAAAAACTCAAGAGGGTTCCATCAACCCCCCCCCATACTACAGTGGAGGTATGACTTTCCATTTATGTCTGGGGGTTAACACACTGTACTCATATATATATCCAACTCTAATGGTATTATGAGATAGGGTAATACCGACAGTTTCTAGTGGACTGACCAAAATTTAAATGAATTTTTGCATTTCTTTGCTTTTTGGGCATAATAGGGAGAGCAGTACACCCTGCCTTAATCTAATAGATTTGCTGTTCCTGGAAAATATTTTATTTCAAGTCTCTTAATAAGTACAATAATTCTTGCAAAAAGTTAATAAGACATTAGGTATATCCCCTGGAATTTAAAAAGTACATCCTAAAGATGTCTTATGCTTACTAAGTAAGTAAGTAAACAAGTCTTGTTTGATGCATGACATGCTTCAAATTTTAATTTTTTAATCATAGCAAGTGAGTTTGCTATTACCAAAATTTGGGGGAAGATTCAAGTTTCTTGTTTTGCACTTCGAAACGTAAGATAAAAGTGTACATTAAAAATAATTCTAAATAGTTTAGCTAACCAATGGCACTAGCACCATATCTTTCAATCCATCTATGCAGTGATTTCGTATAAAAGCTATCAAATGCCACCTCAGGCCACCTTTATCATTTATTCTTTATTTTCAAGTTGTGTTTCTTTTATTAAGTAGACACCTTGTTTATTTACCTTAATCATGAAGTGTAAATAAAGCGATTCAGGGTTAGGGTGGGGTGGGTGGGGATGATTGGTGTCATCCAAGGGTTAATCATTCAGATAAAGTTGTCAATGGGCTTTACAGGCTTTATGGGAAGAAATATAGGTTACTTAGTTTCTTATTGTACATTTCTCATTAAAATGTCTCAACAGCCCAGGAAGATCTGCAGTCATTCAAGAGGATGAATTACAGTTGTTAAACAACCTCTACAGAGAAAGATTTCCTAAAGTAAGATTTTTTTCCTGTAAGATAGTTTTCTTCTCCTTTTCTAGGTGTACCGTGCAGTAGGCAAGACTAAAGAAAATCCTTGGCAAAAAATTTAAGTTAATTTATGCTTTCAGAACCTTCTTGAGCCAGTTGTTTCAAGCAGAGTCCAGAAACATTGGTTACAAACAAAACTAATCTTTTGTAACAAGATTTAAACTGGTATAAAATAGTGTAAATTGTAACTCAATTTTTGTTTTATTTAACCACCTATTTTCTTGTATTTAGGCTGTTACACAGATGGAGGAGAATATAACTGTAAGTACAGTATGACAATTTCTCTGCTGACCCATTGTTAATCTAAGCAGCTCATTACACATGCGCCAGTAATTCAGTTGTTCCTTTCATGAATCCTATCCAGATCACCCCAACTATTTTAAAATTGGTTTTTATTGAGTTTCAGCATTCATTTTAGTGGAATAAAAACTGGTTTGTTGTATATTGTGGTGCGCAACAAGTTAAGTAAATAAATTATTATTACCCATAGTGAAAATACTAAGGGAAAATATTGAAGAGGTTCTTACAGCCACGATGGTCCTCTAAGCAACTGATATTATTTTGAATGGTCATTCATTTTCAAAATGTAAAAAACGAAAGTGTCTGGGAAAGGGAAAAGGTTATGAAAATTGAAGAGAATTAGAAATCAGTTTATTTCAAAGTAATTTTATGGTATGGTGGTTCTTAGGAATTGATTCAAGAATACTCTGAAGAAGGTTCCCTTGGACATAACTGCTGTGATGGAGTTTTAAATTTTGTATGGAATCAGGTATGTGTCTTTTGGAAGAATAAAAAAGAATGTATTGGGTAACAATGAGGGTCTCTTTTGTTGTCACTTGAGTAATAATGGCCATTTGCAGGAACCCATAATCCTGAGTGAACAATTCCATTACATTCCAAACAGAAGTGACCTATATCAAAGCATGTTCACATCCCCATCTGTTTTAAGACACATTTCTGAGTACTTTTCTGCAAAAATGGAAGCTCTGCCTGCTCTGTCACTGTGTTCATCTGAAGTATAAAATTTATTAATATGGAAAATGAAAACTATTTTTCATAAATTAACATGGTCAAACTTCCATTTACTAGTCTGCTCTTTTTCCGACCAAATCTGCACCAAAATAGAAACTAAAAATATAACAGTGAATCTGTAAAAGTGCTGTGACTTAAATTCATGGGGGTGGCTTGCTGTGGGTTACATGTATGTGCTCCTGATATTCCTAAAAGTCTTATGGTAAAATTTCTTGAGTGTTTCACAAGCAAGTCAAGATGCTAACTTTTCTATGGTTCATAAATGGAACAAAAAGCCGATCAAACCCTGGTTTTTACTGATTTCTTATTGACACCACTGGTCTTTTACTATCATAGTTGTCATGCCCTCTATACAAGCAGAGGTCAAAATAATAATCTTGGACAGACTAAGACCAATACTCTGTCCACGCAAATGAACCGGTTTTTGTGTAATTTTTTTTTTCTATTGTATTCTTATAACTGAATTTATACAATTTACTTTCACAGTAATGTTAATAATTAGAGAAAGTTGTTAGAGTTAATTGTTAAGAGAGTTTTTCATGGAAGGTCTACCTCAAAATTTTTGTTGGGTGTCTTATTTCATGATGTTGTGTGCTCTGTAAACATGTGTCTTGAAGTCTATTAGAAATTCATCAATTATAAAAGAAAAACAAGACTAAGTCAAAACCAAAAAAAAAGAAAAAACAAGATAAAGCAAAATGGAGTACTTACTAATATTATTATTCTGTTATTTGTGTTCTTGTAGATTCTGGAAGCAGGTCGTGATCTTCTCAAACAGTCACAAGAGGGTGCTCTGACCAGTCTTTACTTCTATGACATGTCAACAAGACTTGAGAGACTGCTCTTTGAGGTAACACACCCTTTACATTAAGGGCTTATAGCAAATAAAACCTGAAAGGTATTTTCATTATTTTATGTTATACTTGTTCGGTTCGGTCTCCAAAACAACTTTTCTTCTTGATAGCAGTAGCAATAACTTTAATGCTCCATCACGAAAAATCTTACAGACCTCTGACTACAATTTTCCTTTGA